CCTGGGAAATCTGCCAGAGAGCTGTGAAATTGGTTGGATTGGACAATAAACTCCTATAGCTACCGTTGGCATGCACTGAGCTGCACATGGCAAGGCTAATGAACTCTGTAGCAGTTACAACTACAACTGTGTAGCTGGCAGCGGGCAGGGTGTAGAGCGGCGGGGGGAAAGCTGCCATATAGATCTGAGAGCCAGAATGCAGCTGCGGAGCCCTCTGTAATGTGTCTGTCTCTTCATCTCTCTGAACCTGCTGCTGCAAGGTGCCAGCCTCCTTGGAGGGGAGGGGAGAGGTGGGACAAAGTGCCCTCTGTCCCATTGGTGTCCAGTGCTGCTGAAATTACCCACTTCTCCTATCATGACAGGATGGGCAGGCGATTTGAGGCAGGAGCATCAGACTGCGCTGCTGCTTCTGCTTCTGCTTGGTAACACCCCAGACATAAAGAGCCGTGTGTCACGCTCGATTCAAAGGAATTTTTTTTTGGTGTACTCTTTAAATATTGCATTGATGCCTACTTGCCAGGCAGGACAACAGTGTCTGACAGAGAGGAGACCCAGTTTTTTTATTGCACAGATAAATGTGGGAATTTACCAGTCATACCTGGAGCCAGAAGGTGAAAGTTGAAAAGTCATAATAATCTGTGTGTTATTAATGTTTGGGATCAAAGGAGCTTTTTTGGACAATAAGCGACTGCTTTGAGTTCAGTACCCCTGAAGTTGGAGGCTGACGGCTGCCCCCCGTGGGTAGTTGCTCCACACAATAAGGCAAATGAGCAGGTGGTCCTGGTGGGACATGTCGGTGTGAGCTTGTCACCAGCTGCAGAAAGGTCAGGGACCAGAGAGAATGAGGGACAGATTTCTGAAGGCATTTTAGATACCTAAAAATTATGTTAGCTATGTTAGCTACATCATGGGACTGCAAAAAGTGCCTGCTTTCTGAAGGCAGTGAAAGTCCCACCATTTCCATAGCCAGGTGCTGCTGTGGTTTGTGTGTCTGGCCCCAGCTTCTCTGTATCCCACCACTCAGTCCTGAGTGGTGGGATACAGCGTGTGGTCACGGTGTGTTTGGAGGCTTGTGTTGCTGGTTTTTACCTTTGCTGCAATGAACTCTGGATAAACAAAGAAGGTCAGGCCCTCAAGCTATAACCCAGTATCCTGTCATGAGTTTTAAATTTATTAGATGAAATAAACAGAAAAATACTGTTTTGGGAGACATAGTGAGGTTTAAAGTGCCTTGCAGAGAGATGCTGGAGTTTTGCATGAAAAGTGTACATCCTGAGCTCCAGTGAGCAATCCCTTTGGGCCCAGAGCAAGCCCAGATGGTGACTACTCCAAGCGATTATTTTTCTGCCTTAAGCCTTTCCAGGAATTTGAGTGTGGGCAGGCTGCCAGCGGACACTGGCTGTCCAGACACTTTAGCAATGTTCCATGTGTACTCACTGCCAGAGATACCAAAGTCCAGCTGCTGTCCCTGATCTCTTTGTCCCCTTTACCTTCCTAGCCATAATTACATAGGCGTGCATGCACGCACACACTTGTGTGACACACACACGTACAAAGTGGGTGCAAAAAATCACTTGGTGGTTGCTGCTTGTTTGCACATCTTGCAGATCGTGATCAACAGCTCTGAAGTTAAAGAGAAAGGAAATCTCGAGAGCCAGAAAAATTACTTGGCTCCAAAGAAAAAAAAAAGGCATACAAATAACAAACCCTGTGGCATACCGCAGAAGGCAGGCATTCATCTTTCTAGGGCAGCCAGCTAAGAACAGTTTAACCAGGTCTTGTACCTCTTGCCTTTGGGACATGCTGTTTGGGTTGTCTCTCTTTCATTGCTTTCCGAGCAAAATCAGTCTTGTCTTACCTTTCCTGTCCCTGGAACTTGAATTATGCTGAAAAATTACCATTTTACTTTTAAGTCTTGGAGTAGAAGTAGGCTGGTTTATGCTGCATGTTTGCATTTTTGCAAATCCAGTCCTGTGTCTTAGAGTTCAAAGTCTCAACGTGAACTACTTGGGCTTGGAAAAGTGGGGCAGTCTACACTGCTCTACAGCTGTCTCATCTTTTGTCTTCATTAAGCTTATCCATTCCTTCTGTGCTCTCCAGGAGAATTGGGCAGCCCTTTTGTTACCGGTGATGATGAAGTCAGCCATATGAAAGATTTACACCAAAAAAAAACAAAACCCAAAAGATGTAGTATTTGGTATTTTTAAAGGATGTTAGCTTTGACGTTGGAGGCTACCAAAAGATCAGTGGTTCAATGCTAAATAGCAGAAGAAAACTTTTGCTTCAGCTTCTGCAGAGTGAAGCCTCACCAGGTTTCGTACAGCTTCACGATAGTATTTTCGATGCAGAGAAGCTGAATCCAGACACCTCGGGCTTTTGGAACAACTAATTTTGGGGAGCCTGGTCCAGCAAAAGAGACTGGCCCTGTCCAGTCCCATGTAGAAGCTTCTTGCTGTGTTGGAGGCAGTGGGGCCAGCCCTCTGCCTTCCAGCTTTTCCCCATAGGAGTGTTTTTAAATTCTGGGTTTGCAGCTCATATCCATCTCCTCGAGAGTTCAAAGGACGGGACGAGCGCCCCACGTCGAGGGCGTCCCCAGGCAGCCGACTCAGCCAGGAGCTGCTGACTTACCTGCCAAAGCCAACTGCCCGGGGCAGAAGGCTACAGTGAGCTAAAGTTAACCAAGGATGACTCCGCAAATGTGAGCTTGGCAATTTTATTTTTAGTTGAACTTAAAAATAAAAATCTGTAAGTCATGTGTAATATAATAATTTTAGCTGTTGCCAAGGCATGCTGAGCAACTGTTAGGAGGAGGGGGGAAGACCCATGCTGATACAGCAGGCACTCTGTCTCCTGGCTGTCCTGGTCTGGTCGTGGTTGCAGCGCCGAGGTGGCGGTGCCAGCAGCTCGGGACAGGTCAGGGTAGTGGTGCCGAGCCACCACTCAGCCAGGGCCGCTGCCCCTGAGCTGTTGTGCTCAAGGTGTTGCTGACCCTTGCTCTTTTGAAGCTGCCCCAAGTCCTTTTGTCCTCTCTCACCTCAAAGCCAGGGAATCCACCCCAAAATGTTAGTGCTTTATCACCCTTGGCTCTGTGGCTGTTGGTGTTTCATTACTGTTTATCAATATTTAAACAACAGAATAATTAACTTAAGACTGATTGTATCAAACCATTAGAAGGTTTGGACTTTTCCTGCAGGCTTACAGCAGCTTGGAGGACCATAAACATAAAGAGTGCTCTTAAAGATAGGTTTAATCTTAGTCTAGTATGTCTTCAAAGTACTGTATAAGCATATAAACATCAGGCTTATTGTTCATTAGGAGCGAGGCAGCAGGGAAAGAAATCCCCCAAAGGAATAGTACTTGCCATAAGATAAGTATCATTATTGCTGCTCGCATTCCCTTTAAAGTGGGCTATATCCTATTTCCATCTTCTTTCACATCCACTCTTAATTCTTCCTCTCTCCATTTTTGTTTCATATAATGCATGCTGTTCTTGTTAGGATACTGATTGCGTGAGGTGCATGATTTCTCAGCACCCATTCTTGCATATCTTTCAAAACAGCCAGAAATGCAGATAACAAGCAGTGGCTGGACAGGGGCTGGGGAGGGGTTTCACTTTCTGTAAAGTTTGTTATGGGACAAAGCAAGGCAGATTTCAGGAAGGTAGGGGGAGGCTGTTCAGCTCCTTTTGTTTTTTTTCAAAGTGTGATGTTATAGTTAATGATATTTTCCTTAGCAGATAATGAAAGGGTTAGGAAGACTTGTCTTAGCTGCCTTTGGATGGCTGAAGTCACTGAATTAAGATGCAGAGCAGAGAAAGCAACTGTTTTGCTCCAACAGCAAAATTAGCCCAATATAAAATCATGAGCTTTTGCAGTGGTGGGGGCTCCTGGTTTGGATCAGGAAACCCAAAGATGGTTTTCTAAGCGGTTTTAGCAGGGCATCCCCAGGGCCGAGTTTGCTCAGGGTTTGGACCTGTGGCCATGGCCACGAGTGCAGTACCCCTGGTCTGGCAGTTGTTAAGAAACAGGAGGATCGGATCCCAGTGGAGATGGAGATGATGCCAGCACCTGGGCAAGAGGTGACAGTAGCAGAGAGATTTCAAAGCACTGGGGGAAAAAAAAACCCGCACACATTAAAAACCTGGCTCGGAGCCATCTCTGGCTCTGATCTGCTGCTGTAAACACGTCACGTGGCTAAGGTTCATTGCCAGACTGGTAGATGAAGGGCATGTGTACCTGTAAGGAGTCATGGGGCAGGGGGGCAGCCCTGCCCAGTGTGACGTGAAGTCACCCTGTGGGTGACTCTGGGGTTCAGGGGTTCAGGAGTGACCCACCACCTTCCCTCTGCACTGCTAACAGCTACTTGTTGCTAATGTAAATATTCTGTGCATGCATGTTCCTCGGGGCTCCCTACTGCGCCCCCATGCTTTTTAGGCCATGGCAGGGTGAAGGCAACGTCGTCGTTGCAGGGAAAGGAGAGGCTGGAAGAGTGAACAACGTACCTTAGAGACACGAAGGGTTTTCCCAGAGGAAGGAGAAAATAAGCCTCGGGAAATCAGTGACCGACGCTAAATGTGGCAAGTTATGGACAGAGTTTCTGATTTGCCTTGAGTTTTAATCATTTTCGTGTTGGATTAGCAGACATGCCCAGGATTTTCACTGCTGTTTACAGCACAGCTATCAGCTGCTCCTCGACACGAGAGCAGCAATGCTTGACCTTTTTTTTGTTCTTCAGAGGTTTTTCTTTTTCTCGCTTGCTGTTTTGGGGTGTCTGCTCATTTGTTCACATTTCCCAGAGCTGATGATGTGACTCCCTCCTCCCTTGCCCCCTCTCGTTGCAGAATCCAGAGGAGCTGTCAGAGGATCGTGCTCACGGGGAGATGATTCCTCATGAAGTCAGTGGATCCCTTGCAGAAATCAAATGTGACTTTCCATTTATCAGACTGAAATCAGAGCCAGCCAGACAGTGAAGCAAGCACAGTGGAGGGGGGACGGCGAAAGATGAAATCCAACCAAGAGCGGAGCAATGAATGCCTGCCGCCCAAGAAGCGAGAAATCCCTGCCACCAGCCTGCCTTCAGAGGTCAAGCCAGTCCTACCAAACGAAAACCACCGTGCAGATAACCTAGCATGGCTCCCCGGCACACCCAGTGGCCAGGGTGGCCTGGGAGGGCGGCACCGGCCCGGGGGAACGTCGTCAGTGGAGGCGGGTTTGCAGCAGGGTTTGCACAAGTCGCTGTCTGCAGGGCTGGACTACTCCCCGCCGAGCGCGCCCAGGTCTGTTCCGGCCTCCACCACTCTTCCCACGGTGTATTCGCCCGCCCTCTCCCAGTCAGGGACCCCTGTTTCCCCCGTGCAGTATACACACCTGCAACACACCTTCCAGTTCGTCGGGCCCCAGTACAGTGGATCATACACCGGATTCATCCCCTCGCAGCTGATTTCCCCAACAGCCAATTCTGCAACCGGCGCCGTGGCGGCAGCCTGCAACCACTCCATCCCAGCGCTCCCAGCTGGAGGCTTATTCCACTTTGTTGGCCAGCATGAGCGGCCTAAGCCAGCAGGGGCACAAAGTTGAGCCACACCTGGTCAGGACACCTGGGCTGATCGCCGCCGGGTCTCCTCCACCCACCCAGCAGAACCAGTACGTCCACATTTCCAGCTCTTCCCAGAGCACTGTCAGAAATGTCTCTCCTCCAACCATCCCGGTCCCCCTGCACCCCCATCAGACAGTGCTCCCACACACCCTTACTCTCGGCCCTTCCTCCCAAGTGGTGGTGCAGTACACCGACTCAGGGGGCCACTTTGTCACCAGGGATCCCCCCAAGAAGCCTGAGAGCAGCCGGCTACAGGCAATGCAGGCCAAGGAGGTTCTGAATGGTGAGATAGAGAAGAGCCGGAGGTACGGCATTTCACCCTCTGCCGACATGGGTCTGGTCAAAGCAGGCAATAAACCAGCTCCCCATCATTATGAGACCAGGCACGTGGTGGTCCACTCAAGCCCCGCTGAGTACGGTGCACGGGATTCCTCAGGTGTCCGAGCCTCCGTCATGGTGGTCCCAAACAGCAGCACGCCCACAGCAGACATGGAGGTGCAGCAAGCCACCAACCGTGAGACCTCTCCCTCAACCCTCAACGACAAGGGAAGCTTGCACTTAGGAAAGCCAGCCCACCGGTCGTATGCCTTGTCTCCACAGCAGGCTTTGGGCCACGAGGGGGTGAAGGCGGTGGCCACACTGTCCCCTCACACTGTCATTCAGACCACCCACAGCGCCTCCGAGCATCTCCCCGTGGGGCTGCCAGCGACGGCCTTCTACGCTGGGACCCAGCCACCGGTGATTGGCTACCTAAGTGGTCAGCAGCAAGCCATCGGGTACCCCAGCAGCCTGCCACAGCACCTGGTGATCCCTGGCACCCAGTCCCTGCTGATACCAGTCGGCAGTGCGGACGTTGAGCCGTCAGGAGTCGCGCCTGCAATCGTCACATCATCTCCTCAGTTTGCAGCAGTGCCTCACACGTTCGTCACCACCGCTGTCCCCAAGAGCGAGAACTTCAGCGCGGAGCCCCTCACCACCCAGCCTGCCTACCAGGCCACCATGGTGCAGGCACAGATCCACCTGCCCGTGGTGCAGTCCATCGCTTCCCCTGCCACCGCACCTCCCACGCTGCCCCCCTACTTCATGAAGGGGTCGATCATTCAGCTGGCCAACGGGGAACTGAAGAAAGTAGAGGACTTGAAAACAGAAGACTTCATACAGAGTGCAGAAATTAGCAATGACCTGAAAATAGACTCCAGCACTGTGGAGAGGATTGAAGACAGCCATAGCCCAGGCATTGCTGTGATACAGTTTGCAGTTGGGGAGCATCGAGCACAGGTAATGGCAATGCATGGTGGTGTGGGGGGGTTGGACTGGGGTGCACGCCGTGGACCTATGAGTGCAGCTTTCCTCAGGACATCTGTTGCTTTGGATCAGTGCGGGGTTGATTCTTCATCGTTCATGTGTTCCTGTGTGACCTACTCTAGGTGGTCCTGCTCTGGCAGGGGAGTTGGACTAGATGATCTTTTGAGGTCCCTTCCAACCCCTGCCACTCTGTGATTCTGTGATCTGTGAGACCAGCTCTGGTCCAAAAATCATCCGCCTTGCCTTGCTGGGGGAGCCATCAGGGTCACAGTGATGCTAAATGTGGTCTCTTGGATATAAAATGGGTCTTTCTTATAGCTGGAGAACCCACAGGAAGAATTACATGATCTTCATGGGTTTTGATTAAAATATAAAATGGTGTAAGCAGTACAAGAGGGTATATTTTGCTTTTCAATAGGTCATTTTTACCTTCCATACCAGAAAGCTCAGGTTAGATTCAGCTCAAATCCTACCCCTACCTGGGGCACAAAGCAGTGAATTCCCATGGCTTGAAAACTTGGAGCTGCCTGGGAATGGCTCCATCACACATGTAAGTTATTGAAACACACTACAGAGTTTTACCGAGGCTTCGGCTTTGGGTGATTTAAACACTGCATGGCTCACATAAACTGTGTGTTCAAGGAAAATTTGGAAAAAAACCCCATCTAGGTGGCTGGGCAGGCTGTGCTTCCGACCTTTGTTTCTCATTGGTTCACAATGGAGGAAGAAAACCTGTAACTTTCCAAAGGTTTTTTTTAGGTTGAGAATGAGTATCTGTTGATTATAAAGTGTTACCCTGATGCTGTCCATTTTCTGAGCAATTTAGATTCTGCTGTGTTGAGGCTGGAGCAGTTCAGGTATGCTGGATAGCGTTTTGCTTCCTAGAGGTACTCAGTTTAAATAGGCTTGTTGCAAATCTTACTGGTTTGGTTTGAGTGCTGTGAACTGCAGCATCTGCAACCCTGATGCTGCACCATCAGGAGGAGAGAGGGGGAGAGAGGAGCTCAACGTGGACACCTGCAATAAAGCACCTCAGGCTGACACTTGGGAGAAGAACAAACAGCGACAATACCAAGGAGCAGATTACATGAAAAATTTCTTGCAGTTGCAGCAGTCTGCGGCCCATCCTTCCCCAATTGTGCGTACCTAGTAAATCGCTACGTAGGACCCATCCCCTTTCTCATGTCAAACGTACAGATTCCCTGTATGGTTTTGTTCACATATGTGCGTGCATCTGCACAGCTGGTAGAAGCTGGGCCTCTGGTGCTTTCAGTAAAAAGATGGGATTTTTTTCCCCACCGCTCAACTGTATTCTGGTGCATCGCAGGCTTCGTGATTAGAGGAACTGTCCTTGGCTCAGGACCAGTTACTATAATTTGCCCTGGTGCCTTGAATAATGAGATTTCAAAAGTAGCAATATCCCATCTGCAATTTTCATCTTGCTCTCATTTCTCTCCCTGCAGCCAGGCCACCGGTCTCTGCACCAGCTGAAGAGGTACAAATTAGCAGGTAGCATTTGTGTCACATCTTGTTCGCAGATCTGTCAACGCAGGCAATGTGTTGTAGTCCCGGGTGCGGGGAAGAGTGCCTTTGCAGGGGGTGGAGTGCCATCCTCTGGCAGAAAGCAAGCCAAGTCTGAGGCTGTAAGAATCCGGGGCTGGCACACAGGTCTTGCCAGCAAAGTGTCACCTTAGGGAGAAGCCTATCAGGAGCAGGCTGACATCATCATAGCCGAAATACTCCCCAGCTGTGTTTCCCACCGGGGATGCTTCCAGAATGGAGGGCGAGATATGATTAGAAATGGGGGGGTTAATTTAGGTTTCCTGCAGATTCCAGGACTTGGGTCTCTTCCCAGATCAGCTGTGTCCCTGCGTAGCGGGGATGGCTGTGCTGGTTTTCCCTTGCCTGGGGAGAGAGAGAGAGAGACCATGCCTATGTGCTTGAAGTCTCTGTGACCTCACCCTCAGCCCGACGTGGCTATATGAAAGCATTTAGCCTTATTAGCAGGCATGTGGCAGTCATTACTCGTTAGAAAATTGCCTGCGTGAAGAGGGCTTAGTCTTCTCGTTGAAAGAACAGTATTTAGTTGCACTGCTTTGAGCAGTGGCACTGTGGTGCTGCTGCACTTAAATATATCTTGACTGTGGAGTATAGTGAAAGGAATATGTCTGTGTGTAGGGTAGCTTTGCAAAGTATTTCATTACAATGTAGTTTCTGTTGCACACATAATTCTAGAAGGAGGGAGCTCTTAGAATGGTATTAACAAGGGAGTGTAAGTTCTAAAGAGTAAGTGCCATACTAAAATAGCGTTGTTATTAGCTTTGGCTCACTTACGTACTCCTCCCAGGGATCTATGGGAAATCATTATAATATTGATGAATTTGTATTTTCAGACACTGTGCAAACATTAGCTAATTTTCTCACCTATTGAGGGACATAGGTAGGAGGTTATTTTTAGCTGAGCATACACAACTGTAATATAAATAGGGAGGCACCATGCAGCTGCTATTGTATCCTATCACTGCCAGCCCGCGTCTGCCCCTCCGCAGCACAGCACTTAGGCAGAAAGAGGCCATCCTCCCTCCTTTCCCCGTCTTCCAGTCACCTGGCAAATCCAACCCTCTTCCAGGTGTGGAAACCTCGAGGAAACATAACCGTCCTAAAGCTACGTGCCTTTTCAGTGAAATAACTTAGCCCTGGAGGGATGCTGGGTTTCCATTTCCCAGCATCCCTGCTGTGGATTAGGAAGAAGTCAAGTTAATGTCGACTGGACCAGAACCCAAAGTCCAGCCATTACTCTTCTGCATTCAAGTTGCCTAAGAGAAAAGACCTACTGATCTGCATCTCTTTGCAATTCTACATATTATTCTTGTAATAACGCTTTTCTCGTTATTACCTGTCCTTTCTTTTGCTGCCAGGAGCAAGCGGAAGCCCATAATTCGCCTCCATTGATGTTAAGCTCAAAACACACAGGAGATGCAAAATAAGTTCTCTGAAATGCTTGATTTCATCCCTGCATTTCAGTTGCTAATCATTCCTAAAGTATAGCTTAAAAACAAAAGATGAACTTAGAGTTCTTCATTTTCCTTTTTTTAAAAAGACAGAATCATAGACTCTAGAGATGGAAAAGTCCTGTTAGAGCATCTAGTTAGAGGCCCTAACTGGTTTAGTTTAGTGTGTATTTTTTTAGGCCATCATTTAGTTTCATTTTCCCCTTACATTTCTGCGTGCACACAAACCAGTTACTTTTTCTTTTGCTCCATGCTCTCCTTTTCATTATCTTTGGCACCGTAACAGACTCAGAAGGAAAGAAAGATGTTGACTCTGTTCACTGCCGCAGATGGAGATCTCTCACAGCTTTCCCTTCCTGTGATCTCTGGGTCCCCTGGTCATGGGGTCTGTAAGTCCTTGTTCCTCTTGAGTGGTGGGGCGGCCGTGGTCTGTCTTTGGGTGCGTGTTATTGAATTCTGGGAGTGCAGCAGATAGAAGCTTATGTGATAAATTTGTCAGCCAGTGGTCTGGTGGACAGAGGTGGCTTCTCTTGAGAAATGGTGGGATCAGATGGCTGTGGAGAGCAGTCCGAATTGCCTGCCTTACCTACCAAGTTTGGCTGAGAATGAAATTATAAAGGGTTATAGCAAATTGCAGATATTAGCAGCTGTACTGAAGAGTTTTGGGTGTTTTCACTAGTCAGTCTTATAAAATAGAAATAGAAATGTAGCTTGCAGTAGAGCCTCGGTGTGCTTGAAGAGGGACCAGCATTTTGGTTTCTTGCTTTATCGTCTTAGTAGTTGGAAAACAAGTTCCATATTCCTTTCTCTTCCAAATTTCTTTGTCTCCTACAATAATCATGGCAAGATACTAGGGGAGGGAGCTTTTAAAATGGATTTTTTGTGTTTCAGTGCAGTGGCCAGAAAAAAAAAAAAAGAGCATTTTTTTTTTACTGAACTTTCACACTTAAAGTTCTTTGACTACTATTGCTTGTAGAGAATGGTTACCCTAAATCCCAAGTTTGCTGAATCCAGAAGCAACCAGCTAAAACTGACCTTGATAATCCATGAGGGAACCCATTCCAAGTCGATAGTGGTACACACACACCGTGACCAGATTGGGGAAATTCTGGCATTTCACCATCTTTATTGTTTGGTGTTGTTCATGATCACCACCACCAATTCTGGGATTTGTTTCAGTGATTGATGGCTCAGACAAGTGCTTTGGATGCCATGATTAAAAAAAAAGTGTAATGTGCAGTGGAAGCATGTTCACATGAAGAGAACCTTGTGTGTTGGTGGGGATGATGCACACAAGCATGTATGATCCCTGCAGATACAAACAGCTTTTGACAAAGATGGGAAATTAGAAAAAGAAAGGGAAAAAAAGTACAGCAGGCAGGAAGGAAGAAGGAAAGAAAGAGGAGAGACATAGCAATATAGAGGAGAAAGCTGTGTCCACCAGATGATCCATGCCTGGAGAGAAGCCTGCAGCTCTGTGTAGACAGCAGTTTCCATTTAAATCCATGGGAGATACTGGATATTCACTGCTTCTCCCAGTCAGACCCCTTACTGAGATGCATATGTGTGGAACAGGATCCCAAACCCTAGGCAGGTATTTTTGCACAGCCTGGCTCTGGAGTGTTTCAGTGACATGGGGGTGCGGGACTTTCATGGTTACCTTGCCCCACTTTTCTCTGCAGTTCAGAGCATAAACCAGGCCTACAGTCAAGTCCCTGGCTACTATTGCTGTGTGTATAGTTGACTTCTGGCAGACAGTTCTGGTCAGAAAAGGTTTAATATGACAGAAATTGAGGTAATGGGGGGTATCTTGTGATGCTCCTTTTGAAATTCCTTGTACAGTGGCTTGCTATGTTGGGCAGATGGAGTGGCGGGATAATACATGCAGTGTTATTCGTTGGCCTAGTTGCAGAAGTACATAGGTATATTTATAAAGTTTTTTCCAGGAGAATCAACTGTCTCATAAACTGCAGTTGACTGCTAGTGCATGGCATGGGCTTAACCGGTCAGAGGCACAGTCAACATCTGATGAGAATCTTTGGTTTCCTGGTTCTGGAGCCTCTGTCTCTGAGCTGTGAGACATTCCTGCCCAAAAGGGATGTGGAGCCGGTGGGGCGCGAGAGGAGCTACCTTGGGCCCTGCTTGCAGGGAGGGCACCTCTGAGGGTAAGCAGCACTAGCAGGGAAGCGACAGGGCTGCTGCGGCCACATCTGGAGTGCTGTGTCTAGGTCTGGGCCCCCCAGTTCAAGTGGGACAGGGAACTACTGGAGAGAGTCCAGCAGATGGCTACGAAGATGATGGCGGGGCTGGGGCATCTTTCCTGTGAGGGAAGGGTGGGAGAACTGGGGCTCTTTAGCCTGGAGAGGAGAAGACAAGAGGAGACCTTATCAACACTTACAAATATCTAAAGGGCAGGTGTCAAAGGGATGGGGCCAGGCTCTTTTCAGTGGTGCCCAGTGACTGGACAAGGGGCAACGGGCACAAACTGGAGCACAGGAAGTTCTGCCTCAACATGAGGAAAAACTTCTTTACATTATGGATGACAGAGCACTGGAACAGGCTGCCAGGGAGGTTGTGGAGTCTCTTTCTCTGGGAATACTCAAAACTCGCCTGGAGACAGTCCTCTGCAACCTGCTGTAGGTGAACGTGCTTTAGCAATGGGGTTGAACTAGGTGATCTCCAGAGGTGCCTTCCAACTCTTGCCATTCCGTGGTTCTGTGTTTAGGTGCTTTATCATGCTGGGACCTCAAGGCCCAGCATTTGCAACGTCAAGGAGCGGTGAACACCTGTTGCTGTTCTGTTGTGGCTATGGCAGCTCCCTGTAAGATGGTTAGATAGGATTTGTGACCAGATGTGTTTTAAAACTGGGGGGTAAAGGGGACACGGTGCAGAAAAGGAGACCCAGTGCAGGAGCTGCAGGAGGAGGAGAGACGATCCTCTCCCTGAGGGAGTGTGTGAGTGAACTCAGCTCAAAGAGTGAGAGAGCAGGTGTGAGAATGATAGGAATTGGCCTGGTAACAGGACTGCTCGGGGAAGGCAGGTACAAGCTCACTGCTCTTACGGCCACAACTCTGTACGTACTCATGGCCTTCCCTTGGAAATCGGCATGCCTTCAACCTTTTCATGTTGGTAAGTATATGCTTGTTTGGGCAGAGGTGAGGATGATATTCCCATGGTTGTTTAGGAAATTGTGTGTCAGAACAGAAAGCTTCCCTTGAGCTGTCCTCTGGTTGGAAAGCATCTTTAGATGTGGGTGACAGGCTCTAGGTACCACAAGGGGATGGTGGGGAACAGTGTTTCCCAGATGCCGCAGCTGTTTTGCCTCTTCGGCCTCTCTGAGCGGCTTGACAAAGGTAAAGCTCAATTCCTGCCGAGGTCGTGCACTAAGAAGAGCTGAGCTCAGAGAAACTATTAACACCCATGTGACAATGACAGGCGTGAAGTCTGGTGGTCAATGTACTGATTTTGCAGCAACTGAACAGCACTTTTGCAACTTCAGCTGTATCCCTCTCCCCGACAGCAAGCGCTGCTGCCGTGCACGTGCGTGAGAGCACATGGGTGATCTCATGCTCTCCCCTCTCTCTCCCTCTGTCTCTCTCTGTTGTCCCCTCTCTTTCTGCAGGTCAGCGTGGAAGTCTTGGTAGAATACCCTTTTTTTGTATTTGGACAAGGCTGGTCATCCTGCTGCCCCGAGAGAACCAACCAGCTCTTTGATTTGCCATGCTCCAAACTCTCGGTGGGGGATGTCTGCATATCGCTCACGCTCAAGAACCTGAAGAACGGCTCTATTAAAAAGGGCCAGCCCATGGACTCAGCTAGTATCTTGCTGAAGCATTCAAAGAATGACAGTCTAGCTGGAAGTAGACACAGGTATGCGGAGCAGGAAAATGGAATTAATCAGGGAAGCGCACAGATGTTAGCTGAGAACGGTGAACTGAAGTTTCCAGACAAAATAGGATTGCCTGCAGCACCTTTGCTCACCAAAACAGAACCCAGCAAGCCCCCGGCAACAAGGAAGAGGAGGTGGTCAGCCCCTGAAACACGAAAACTAGAGAAATCAGAAGAGGAACCACCTTTGACTCTTCCCAAGCCTTCTTTTATTCCTCAGGAGGTTAAGATTTGCATCGAAGGTCGATCCAACCTAGGAAAGTAAAAGTTGTTTGGGGAAAGAAAATTAGGCTATCCCTTGTCATTTTTATCCAGATTACTGTACTGTAGACTAAATAACCCAGTATTTACATGTTATCATCTTATTTTAGGTTTATGTTATAACCTTGTTGTTATAGTTGCAGCTGGTATTATGCAGGAGACTGGTGCATATGTTTTTCCACAAGTGTTTGTCAGTGACTAGGTTTATCGAGAGCTACAGAAGGGGCAGTATCTGCTTCACACACCCTTAGTGGAAATGAATGTGTTCTCATGGCTCCTGTTTTCTAACACCTCGTGTAGGACAGGGTCCAGCTGTGATTTTGTTTTCTTTTCGTTGTCGTTTTTTTTATTTTGTTTTGTTGTTTCAGTTCCT